GGGTGGGGGGGAGTGAGCGAGCAGCTGCGTGGTGCTCAGTTGCTGACTGAGATTAAACCACGACAAGAACTGACCACACAGACTCAGTAATACCACCAGGATTTCTCCTTCAGGAGGACAGCATCTCCTCTCCTTCTTTCCTGTCCACTTACTACTTTAATCACTGCCTCTGTTAGTAATGGACTCAGATTCCCTGATGAAAGGCACCTGATAAAAGGCACCATTAGAAGTATCAGCTAAAAACAGACTGGAGAAGTTGCATTCTTCTGGTTTTCCTTTCCCCTCTTCTTCATTCTGCAACTTCTCTCCAGTGTTACTGTAGCAGTGTGTGGTTATCACACCAAGAACAGCTTTTAAAACCCCTCAGTTTGGCATTCCAGGAACCACTGCTTCAGTGCAATTGTGACTGCCTATGACTGCAAAAGTCCTTGATTTCATTTTAGTGCCTGCTGTGACTCAGTGGAAGGAAAAATGTGTGATTCCCAGTTGGGACAGCCTGTTACCTTCCTGAGGCAGTCGCATTCTTTCTTCAGAGAGTCATTTTCTATTTTCTGTCTCTCCCCATCCTGGGCAGGGGGTCCTCGCTCTGCATTCTTTACACACTGCTGCATCTTGTCCTGCAGGCTGAAATTAGCAGAACACCATGGGAAAACCAGCTTTATTTGGGGTGTTTCCCTCACTAAACAATATAAGGCAGTGAAAGATTTTCATATCGGGTGTCAGTGTTGCCCTGTTTGCATCCCAGCTTGTAAACTGCAAGGGCGGTGAAGGAAGGAGTCCCTTTCCCTGGACACAGCCCTGCCCACGATATTGCCACATCTGCAGAGACGCAACGATTGCGGATTACGTAGGTCCATTTTGCAAGGAGTTACGGTTGAGAGCAATAACCTGAGGACACAGACAAACCCATGTGACAAAACAAGGGCCCCCTTTCTTTCAGCCACCTGGTTCTGCTCCCACCCTCCGCTGTTGGCACGCAGAATTTGTACACGGTGTTTTGGCGAGCGCTCGCATAATCAGCACAAATCCATGGTAACCTGGTTCTGACAGGTGGGACAGCGGCTGTGCTGAATCATCACTGTTCTGCTGCAGCAATTGTTTCAGTGCTAAGATGAAGCTTATTCTAATCCTCCAGATTTTTACCTGCGCACAGTGGAAAGAAGCTCCATTTCTTTGTGTTTTTGGGTTTCTAGCTGCATCTCTTGCTCCCTGAAAGCAGCCCGGACATCTCCAAGCTCTGTTTCCAGCGCCAGCACTGTTTCCTGCATAGCAGTACTCTTCAGTTCAGATTCCTTCAGCTGCAACAAAAGACCATCACAACACTCTAGAGACCTCCCAGGGGTTTCACCACACACACCATGTTTCAACTACATTCGCAAAGCAGATTTTTACTACGTATGGGGCAATTCTCAGCTATAGCTCAGAACATTCCTCCTCCAAAAAGGTCAGACCACGACTTTACTTGTGCAGGGGATTACCTGCAGTTGTAGAAAAGCCACCTGAGCAAGTACGTGAAGAGCTGCCATCACAACTCAGAGGAGGTTTTACCTTCTGACTCTGTTTCTGGTGGTCCTCAAGGGTTGGTAGATCAGCCAGGTATCGTTCCAGGGTCTCAATTCTCTGTTGTCTCTCCCTGTTTTGTTCAGATTCCTTCTGGCATTTCTTTTTAAGATTATTAATGTGTTTGTCTCTTCCCTTTACCTGCAGGGACAGTTATATACAAGTTTAGTTTATATAATTTCTTGTCCATTCTTCAGTCCTCTGTAAGCCCACTCATTTACCTTTTTGTACAGCACAACACCAAAATACAAGATCACTAACTCAGCAGCATTTCTGCTCACTCAGCTAAAGACAGGCTGCTTCTCCGGTTAAAAGAAGAGATACCGAAATCCTTCTAACTGCAGGAGGAAGGGCTTTTGCTTATAAACCAAAGAATTCTACAAGGAGATCAGAAAATACCTACAATAACACATTGCCACAGAAAACTTTCACCTACGCACTACACATTGACTTTTAGCTTCTAGAAGAAAAAAGACTTTCCCAGCTCTAGAGCAATAGGATCATACCCTTTCTTCCTGTTTCTTTAACTCCTCTGCATGTTTCTGCATAGTTTCCTTCAGCGACTCCCGGATCAGCTTTGCATCCACCTCTGCAGCAGCCAGTTTTCTCTCCAGTTCAATCTTCTCCTTACTGAGGGATTCAGTCTTCTCTGTGAACTGTGCTCGAAGAAACGTGTTCTCCCGCTGCAGCTCCTGCAAACAGAGACAGCCTGTGAATTCTGTCTGTCAGGGCTAACAGTTAGTTACAAACTGGCACTAAGCATCCGCGCTGTCTCAGAGCTGTGTTCTCAGCCCTCCTAATTCCCAAACATCATTCAGCCCATCTTATACGCTGCAGTATCCGAAATAGCACTTGTCAGTGCTGTCAGGTGTCTGCATCACTAGCACAGCTTCTAGACAAACCATAGTACTTCAGGGCTTGAAATCTCAAGTCACAGAAGATCTCAGAGATGACAGGTAATGGGGACCCCATACAAAGGATAGCGTTACTCTGCATAGCCCTAGAATCATAGAATCATAGAATCATTGAGGTTGGAAAAGACCTCTAAGATCATCGAGTCCAACCATCAACCCAACACCACCATGCCCACTAAACCATGTCCCTAAGCGCCTCATCTACACGTCTTTTAAATACCTCCAGGGATGGGGACTCCACCACTTCCCTGGGCAGCCCTCCTACTCAGGAAACACCTAATGAGAAGTCGTAGGACCGTTGGATTCAATACATATTTCTGACACCCTGTCGCGCCCAATTACCTGCATTCTCAACATGTAGACATCTCCGTAGGGTGCTGGACAGCCAAGCAGGGCACTGTGAACCTGCAGTTCACTTTCACGGACCTTCTGCTCCAACTGGGATATGTGTTGTCTTTGTCTGTAAAAAAAAAAACCCAGGTAACACGCTGTTCACAAACATACAGTAGAGAGCAATACAACATGAACAGTGCCACCACAACTCTAACGCTCCGTACAGTGACAAGCAGAACAGAAAGACAACTCTGCAACTCAGAACTGACCTGCAGAGAAATAATCTGAAAGATGTCCATTCTGACTTTTTTTTTTTTTCTTTCTACAATTGGTATTAACTTTTCTTCCCTCCCCTCCCTTCAAAGCCTCCCCCTCAGCAATGATTATATACAAAACACACAAGCCTTACATGCTTTGGAGGATCAAGCTTGGCTGGGGAGCTTATGAGTAAAATGAACAGATAGAGGACTCAAAATGAGCAAGCAGAAAAAGTATTTACAGTCCAAATGCTGAAGGTAGTTTTCACGAGGACTTACTTTTTCGAAAAGCTTATGGACCACTAGCGTTAGGTATGAGAAATGTCGTTTGCCAGCCCAAACTCACAAAGAACAAATTTAAAATAAAGATCTCGAAGAGCTCCCAGAAAGTTCTCAAGCAAAAAGGCAGTAGTTTTGACGTTCTAGATAATCCTGATGCAAACAGAAATCTTTATCCCTTACAAAACACAGAAAACCATAATGAAAATTGATTTATTTGAACCCTTCAGGATCACCATCCTACTTCCAAGAGGAAGGGGAGGAGAGCTGTTCTCAAAGGTCATTATGTTGTTCTTTGCAATAAGAAAAAGCTCAATCAGGTAAAAGGGACTCAGATATGAGCTTTCCTTGGTAATTTCAAACCCCCCCCCCCCTTTCCAAAAGGAAAGGCACTGGTGTCCTTAAACCACATGTTAGTATCAAACTCTCACCTGTCAATGAGAAGCTCTTTCTCCTTGAGTAGGTTTTCATTGGAGTTCAGGATATTGATCCACTGGGCTGGATCAGGTGTAGGCAGCGAAGGAGAATACATCGAGGGATGGTGGCAGGCGCCTCCATTTTGTAACTGGAAGAGGAGACAAAACAAGGAGGGAGAAGTTTGTGCTCCACAGAGGTAATTACAACATCGCTAGAGCTATTTTGCACACTGTGTGCTCATCTGCATGCCAGGACATAGCTATTTCAGTCTCTGTTGATGTCCAAGAACAAGTAACTTTGCCCAAGCACAACTGGAGATTAACAAATAATTTTAGATCACTGTGCTAGCTCACTGGAAACAATTTGTCTCCATTAGGATACAGCTGGTGGGAGGTGACAAACTGTTTCCATCTAATAAACTGCAGTTAGTTTTATGCATCTTTTCAGAAGAAGTCTGTTTCCTAACTCTAGATACAGAATACAATTATTCTAGAAACTGTTAAGAACTTCTTGGCGTGCTTTTTCTTTGCAGTTTCTAGCAGACAGGATATTTCACCTCTTGATCTGAACTGTTGTGCAGTGCTGTAACATAATACAGGGCCACTCTACATAAGCAGCATGTCAAATGATACCTGTGACACCACGTGTTGTAAAAACAGATCATTAAGAGTGTAAGATCATTTCGGTGTAAGACAGGGAGAAGCATGAGACATTTTCCCCCCTGCTTCATAAGTCTGGGACAACGGTTCGCGACTAAAGAGACAGGAAGGGTTTCAAACTCTCATGTTCACACAAGCAGCTCCCTACCTGCATTTGCTCTATTTGCAATCGCACTTTCTCCAGCTGTTGTTTCCAAGCACCAAGCTCGCAGACCCTCTCGTGTGGATGCAGCGTGCAGGCTTCTTGCATCCATGCTCGAGATGAAGGAGTTACAGGTTTTGAAAAGAAATTGTTGGCCTGGAGTCCCGTTGGCATCAGTCTGCTCCCGCTCGGCCACGTTCCGTCCTGGGGCTCACAGGCTCCGTTACTCCCTGCCACTTGCTTACTCTCTGGCAGCACCTTATAATGGTCCTTTCCTGCCTCAGCTGCCCCAGAGTTTGGATTGAACTTCTGGAACCTGTGGAGAGGGTCAGTGCACAAACTATCCAGAAAGAGAGACTGGTTAAGGGTGCGCTCAATGGCAGGGGTGTCAAACTTCCAAGTATCTTCCGTTCTCATGTGATCAGAAACAGGATGCCAGGATTGCTCAAAACCATTTTCCTCCCCTGAAGTCCTGTAGAGACGCAAGAGATCCCTGGGTGGCACCTGAGATGACTTCCCGGCATTAAAGTCTCCATTTCTCACGAGCCCTGCGTGTTCAGAAGCAGATCCCGGCATAGCAGTTTTTGAAGTACTCTGCGAACAGCTCTGGTCTCCTGCAGAGCACAGCTTGGAGGGCGAGGCACCCAGCGTAGAAGGCATAACATGGGCTGTTGGGATGGTCACTTGGGTTTTGATGGGCTGGAATGAGGAACCGTTACTGGAATTGCAAAAGTCTAGGGAAAGAAGAAGAGTGATGCTCTAATTACAACCCTGAAAATATTCTGTTTTGACACCCCAGCCACTCCTCTGCCAAGCTTTCTGAAAGAATTTTAAAACCCGATTCTTTTCCCCCCTGAACATGTCCTCCTAAGCAGCAGCAGCAAGACTAAGGCACACCTACGTTCCCTCTCACTACAAGTTTCAGGAGCCTGCTGACATTTTCCTACCACCGTAAACCACAGGGAGAATCCAAGTCTAGTCCAGTACACATTTTTAATCCCTTGTTTTTAAGCTACTCTAGTATAATCTTAAATCAATAAGGTTATCTTTCTAGAGGTTTAGAAATCAAGTCCTTTAAATTGAATAAAAAGGCTGAAACTTACTCAGCTGAACACTGAGACCTTGATTCTGTTCTGCCCGTCCCACAGCTCAGCGACTCTGAACCGTAACCAAAGCTAACTGGAGCCTTCACTAAGCCCATGATGAGCTTCAAACATAGCTGGACACCAGATCACCAAGCAGTTGACCTTCGAACTCCTCCAGGACGCTGCAGCAAAAGAGCTTTTTCTAGAGGCTAGGGTAATGGCTCTCGCCTTATTGCCACAGGAAATGATAGAGTTCAGCGCATGCACCCCAACGTGAGCCCGTCCTGTCAGACGGGCACCAAACCTGGCTGCATGGAAATACAGGGTTATTCTTAGCAACTCTCAGATTTCAATACAGCAACAGCAAGAGCTGAGAAAGGCAAACAGCAAAGTGCCTGTTCCCACTCCTCCTCGCGATACATTGTGTATCACAGTAATTCCAGGTTTCTCCCAGATACACAAACTTGTTTTCTTCATTGGTTTGGCTGAAGGCCCATCCCCACATGATGTTTCTTTATCCAACATCAGGACTGCAAGGTCATTCTTCCACCTGTTTGTAACCTCAAAGCGTTGTTACAAGAAAGAATAAAAGGTTACATGCGACGGAAACCAGATTCTGCAAAGAAGGTCAAACTGCAGAAAAACTATCACAATAAAGCCACAAGACCCTCTCCTCAAAAACGAGCAGAAGGGGGAGAAAATCCCTTACACATTACTTGGCTGTGCCTAGGAACTCCAGAGAACACCATGCTACCAAGCAGTCGCAAGCACGTTCACCTTGGCAAACGGAGAAGAGACAGTACAATCTCCTTTTACAGCCCCTAAATTTATATCCCAGTATCACTGTCAGGAACTCGAGTTCTCTGACCAGCACGCCACGTGCGGATGCTGCAATCGGTTCCTTGAGTGTGCCAAGGGTCGTCCACAACAACATTTCTGAGTAACGTACTGACCTGAGAGTCAGCGTGCTTCAGCTAGCTGTCAGTGCCGCAGTTCAGCCTCAGCTCTTACAAAACAAGGCTACAACATCACAAACGTTCAGAAGGGCAATTTCCAAAAGGGCCATCATTATCTCCCCTGCCCTCAGCGTGCAACTGGATGCTTTATTATCCTGAGAGAGGCCAGATGGGACACTTAAACATGCGCTCTAGTAATATTTCTAGCAATATTTCCACAAGCCAGACTTTCTAAAAAGCCTTCCTTTCAATTCACACATTATTAAGATCTATGGCTCATTCAAAAGGCTCAAAGGCAGCTTGTGAAACACATGAACGTGCAAAGTGCATTGTTTTAAAGAACAGCACAAACTTCCTCGCTGCTGAAAGAAGAATCAGTGAATCAATAGTGGTTTATGTCACTTTCAGGGATGAAGATGAAAATACAGGTGGGAAAGGATTGCTGGGACAAGCAATTTCACAGAGCGTGCCCCAGCTGAGGGCAAGGCTGCAGCATTCTTCAGTGAGAAGCACACAGCTCTACACTGAGGAGACTTACGCACAAAGGCACACTGATCTGAAGTCTCTAGAGGCACCTACAAATTTTATTTCTTAAAAAAAAAAAATAATCGCACAGCAGACTTGCTGATAAATCACTTGTTGGTCAACATGAACCAGCAAGTCACCAAGGTGGCTCTTTTAGTCAGTTAAAAAGGCTTACTACAGTTAGAAGATAACCAAACCAGCTTAGAGAAACAGCAAGCCCTTTAATCACTTGTGTATATCTCAGGCAGCATATCTGCGTACTGAGGCACTGGTTTTGAAATAGTCTCCAATCATCATTACAGATTCTGCTCTCCCCAAGTTTTACATTCTAGGGCTCAGTAATATGGGGCTATTTAATGCTTGTCGGTCTTCTAAGAAAACTTAAAGTCTTCGGCTGTTACTGCGTGATCCCATGCTGACCATCACCTTCTGTGCTCTGATAAATCACTTGCTGGTCAATATGAACCAGCAAGTCACCAAGGTGGCTCTTTTAGTCAGTTAAAAAGGCTTACTACAGTTAGAAGATAACCAAACCAGCTTAGAGAAACAGCAAGCCCTTTAATCACTTGTGTATATCTCAGGCAGCATATCTGCGTACTGAGGCACTGGTTTTGAAATAGTCTCCAATCATCATTACAGATTCTGCTCTCCCCAAGTTTTACATTCTAGGGCTCAGTAATATGGGGCTATTTAATGCTTGTCGGTCTTCTAAGAAAACTTAAAGTCTTCGGTTGTTACTGCGTGATCCCATGCTGACCATCACCTTCTGTGCTGTCTGAGCAGGAGGTCCCAATGCCCCCGTCCCCACTGTCCGCCACGCTTGAACAGCGACTGACACGGCTCTGGAACTTCACAGACAACATAGGTGTTTTCCAGTCAGTCTCCAAGAAATTACTCTTCTGACTGGTGCTGGGATCTGGAGAGAAAAAGCCAGGGATATTTATGTTTTAGTCAACAGACTGAAAAGCCTTTTAATACACCTAATTAAGCCATATCTAATTACCCGTGCTACCAAAACCCAAACTGATCCTTGCTTGACTCCCCGTGTTGTTGCTAAAGAAATCTCTTTTGCAAAAGGAAATGGCAGCAAGCACAGGGAAATCAAATAATATCAACAGGAGATTGAAAATCAATCTCGTTACGGAAGTTGGAATGCAAAAGCAGTAAATTATATTCCCATTGATAAGTTTGGTGATGTTACACCCAGCTGACGCTCTCGAACTAAAAAGAGCAGCAGCAATGTTGGCACACAGCGATACTGGTAAAGACACATTTTTGCATTAACCGTTAAGAACTCTTCCCGTTTTATCAGTTATCACTCAAGAGAGAGGTTCATTATCAAATGATTCTCTACCCTTGCATACCCATGCAATTGTTTTATTTTGCAGGAGTAAGACATTGGGTTTTTTAATAAAAAGCTTTTGGCAAAGAACTCTTCTCAGGGCCACACGTCTCCTCAGAGGAACTGAAACAGGATCCGACAGCAGCAGGGCGTTAAAGAAAGGACCGTCCTTACCCGATGGATTGTTCTGCTGGAGCCTCAGGTCTGGATGCTTCTCAAGAGCAGCCATCTTATCTATCCAGTGAACTACAGGGCAAGAAATAAAAGTCATATTTTAAATCAGCATGAACCAAACCCTGTTTCCACTAACCAAGCGAAGGGTACATACACATCAGCTACTCTTCATTCAGACTAACACAGTATTTCATATTTAATTAGCATCTCCTCCCAAGGGTCTCTCTGTTTCATCCCTGCAGCAACAGAGGCAATACTTAAAAAACCCTTGCAGTTATTGTAGGTTTTCTTCATGCATGAGAAATGAGGAGAGTTCCTGTTTGCAACATTCTCCAGGTATGCAGCAGTTCAGCAGCGCCTTTCAACTGGGGCATGTGTTATCCCCATCGTAGTTATTTATAGAGCATCGGTCACCATGGTACCTCCACGCTGGCTTTATGTCTATAGAGACTAAAAATTTCCCTTTCAAAGTCTTAATTCTAAACCAGTTCATTTCTGCCCTCTGTAGAGGTCACTGAGCAACTACACGCAGAAATGCAGGCATTCAAAACTTGGCGTTGCTGTTCCATAAATGGCAATCATTATCTATCCAGAGCTTTGATTTAATTTATCTGTTTATCTGAGTACATCAGACAGTGAATTTCCTGCCTCTGATGATGCAAGCATGATTTACAGCTCTCTGGCTTCAGTGTGGAAATTCAAGGCCTCTCTCTACTCTACCAGTCAAATACTAAATCCTCGATTACCAGCTCTTAAAGATGGTTGCTGAACTGACTCAAAGAGCTCACAGGAACTGTTAGTTCTTAGAAAACATACATATACGGATTTTACAACATAGGAAGACATTGGGAATACAATAGGATAACGAACCAGAGGCAGCATTTCACTCAGCGAAGAAATAAAACACTTCTAGCGAAATGCAGTGCTTATTACGTTTAATTTAGGTATGTTTCTGAAATTCCTGAGTTTAAATCTCAGTCTCCAGCACTACAGTCAGTTATAACAGGGAAATTCAAGCATGGGCTTTTAAAATAAGACAGACAAAGCAACCAAAGCATTCCCACCTCACCCAGCACCACCCTCTCACAAACACACACGCACCCCGGAGAGCACCCACGCCAAAACCACCCCCCCTTCCAGCAGCGGGCACAGGGCAGACCCTGCAAGAGGGGTCACGAAGGGGGGGGGGAGCAGCATTTGGCCCGATGGAGGGGGAGGAGCTCGGCGGGTACGCGGAGCGGCGTGAAGCCAGGGTGCGGGAGGGGAGCCCTTCGCCCCCCCCCACCCCCGAAGGGGATGGGGAGAACAGCGATTTGGGTGGAGGCAGAGGGGAAGAGGGGAAGGCGGTTGATCCCGGAGGGAGTGGAGGGGCCCAACCGCCTGGAAGGCGCAGCCTGGAGGGGCCGGTCCCTGAGGGGAGGG